CGTCAAGACACGATCGTCTCGCGTTCTTCAGCGTTCTCGACGCGAAGAATTTCGATGTGCTCTCGATGCGCCCATGCGAACGTTGCTCCCTACGTTCGTGAAAGGACCGCTATCTATTTGCCTCGTTGTACGTGTCAAGCATATGAAACGTAGTAAAACGCGCGTGACACGTGGTTGTATAGCGATACCTTTTGTTGGCCCTTCTCGCGGCAAATAATTGGACGTTGAACGCTTCCGGGTGAAACGAGCGTCCGATAGAAACGGATTATACATGTATATATTCTTTAATTCTATAAATACTTCATTCACGTTCGATCGGCGAGATCGGCGAATAGATAAAAAAAATATTATTTGTCTACGTGCACGAGTTCGTCGCTATTAATAGATAATTACGTATCGAGGAAACACGACTGAACGCTCGTTCTCGATTATTGCCTAATTATGGCGCGCCGGTACCTCGGATCTCGGCACAAAAACCCGATACTTTCCATCCTTCTTATCGCGAAACGTCACGGATAATCTATACGCGGCGGATGTAGGCGCCCGCGAGACATGCCTCTCGTGTGCGATCTTGCCTTCGCGAGAAGTTGCTATCGCGCCTATGCGGCATGCGCGGTCGTGCATGACGGCGCGGCGTGAGGGGTTCTACTTTCTTCGATGGCCTCTCTAGAATCGGGCCCCATCGGACGTTAGTATACGCAACGCGCACGCGGGTAACACGCGCGTCACACAACGCCGGGGCTTATGCATTTAATAAACCCAGCCAAGTTCGCTTTCGCGTAATAAATTGTAAGGCAACTTTTCCTGCTGCGAGCTAAATCTTAACGGTACATCTTCGCGTTATGAAAGCTCCGCAAATGATAGCGAAGCAACTTTCACGGTTCCCACAGGGGAACTTGAAACGCTTGCGACGCAGGGAACTCGGCGATCGTGTGCCAATTAGAGAAGTAATCCGACGTGTAACGCTGATGAAAAAAAGAAATACGTATAAGAGGAAAAAAGCGGGGGATCTAGAGGAAGGAAAGGCCGCTCACATATATATCGGAAGTATTTATTAGAAAAGGATAGATACGTGTAACTGCACACGTGCACTTATCTATTTTATTATTAGCATATAATGTATATATATAAGTACATTGGTTAACGTTTCTATATAATCATTATAAATATAGATTTTGTTTTTCATTCCATTGTAAATGCACGAAGTGCATGAATTACTTGTTACGTGTGATATGAAATATTTTTCTGTCACTTTGGCATATTACTATTCATTATCTTAAATATTTTGATATTGTCTAATATTTCTTTGTAAACGCATATATTAATTGATTTATAATAATGTATATACCGTTTATGTTTTGCTAGATATTGCTAATATTTTTCTTTTCACTGTACACCATATAATTTTGTAAGAAAACGTACATAGCTGTTATTATGCACGTATTTTTAATCGTCAAGGACTCGCGATTACTACTTTTACTCGTCGGATTTATAATCGGCGAAAAAATGCTAATTTAATTGTTTCATAACTACCATTATCCGCCGCAAATCGTAATCGCGACGCACCCGGCGACTGCGAAAACACGCAAAGAAAGGAGGAACGGGGGCGGACAGTTTGATGTATCGCACGAAGGAGAAAGAGAGCGGCACAGATCCGCGCCGTGATCCGTTCGCACGGCGTGGCGCGGCGCGGCAACGGCCCGGCACACAACGCGCTTCGGCTTTGGCGCTCGACCTCTTTGCGCCTACGTGGGAGGAATAGGAAGTCGTGCATTAAATCCGAACCTCCACCTTTCAGCGCTTAAACGCCTCTCAAATGGCATGGCCGCGGGACACCGTCCACTTCGAGCGCACAAAAGCGATTGCCTCAATTCCTGAATTGACCGCGACGACACGCGACGTCGATCTCTTCGGAGATGTCTCCCCCAGGACGAGCGATACCCGTCGACGATTTTAAAATTTAATGATTCTCGAATGCATGTTGTCGGTGCGACATCGATATACCTTATGGCCGGCACTATCATTCGTTGATGCTCTGTCTGAGATTTGCGAGATTACGTATCTTGATAAAACACTCGTTATTTATTCATTGCAATATTCCTGCAGCACACTAATATTTGCAGACACCGTAGAAGTTTTTGTGACTTTCGTTCTGTTAACTCAATAACATGTTTTTTATCTCATGCTTTTTGTTTCTTGTATTATTTTGATTCAAATATCAGTAAATATCGATCTGATAATTTTAAATTTATAATTACATTCATAAACTCATAAATTATTGGATTTCTTTGTAACGTATTTAAATATTAATTGACAATGTAAAAATTCGAATAATTTATCCTTTTTTAATTTTTTACAACTTTTTTTATAACGGTTAAATTTAATCTAGCATAGCTACTGTCTTTAAATAGCTAGCGCAACGAAATTGAGCATAAGATAAGAAACTGATAGTACAGTAACAAAATAGCTAAATTCTTGTCTCATTCGTGCTAGAGTGACCGCGCCAGCTTAACAGACATATTCAAGAACGTCTCGGCGAGCTCTTGGACTTTCTCGCTCGCGCGTATCGAGCGGAAAAATTCCAGTCTTGGCCGCTCACTTGTGATTACGCTCATTGCCGAATTAACTGCGAACGTCGGACGTTCCCATTTGCGCAAACGGAAAAATTCTACTCCGATACTGTCTTCACGTTCGAGTGCAGAGGTAGGTGGTATCGGAATTCCGGATGGATGTACGCGTTCTCGTGAGGCTGCATTCCTCTTTTGTTAGAGAGGAAGGTGTATGTAGATAAGCCGTTTAATCTCGCGCAAACACGCCTACGCATACCGTGACACCACGCGCAGTCAAACTCACGATTGCGTGCAAAAAGATATTCAAATATTTTTGCAGGCGTAAGTATTTTTGCAGGCGTAAGTATTTCTGGAGTCGTCTGAGATAAGTTTAAAGCTCTCTCATGTGTTGACATATAATTAGTTTACTCAAACAAACGTCGATGTGCGTCCGCTGTTTCTTTCTAGACCACGTTCTTTACTTCAACATTTTCATCCTCCCCAATTAGCTGAATTTTCTGCAAATTTAAACACGCTAACTGAAATTAACATGTGACGTTTTATTCACGAGTAATTACAAGAATTGTCGCGCATAAGATTAGAGATAAAATATAAATATAGTTTGTATCAGTGTTCTGTTATGTGGAACAAAAGTAAAGATACCTATAGGATGGGTCAGAGATGGGATGCATGGATGGACGAAATATGCCGCAACGCAACGTGCCCATCGCACTCTATCGACATCTCTAACTGCGCATACTTGATCCAATTGGATACTTAATGTCTCAAAGTCTGAGGTGGTGTCATGCGCGAGATGATGAAACGCGAAAGGATTTAGCCTTCGTCTTCAAGGCTGACCGCTGGTACACCGCGAACAATCGTCCGTGCTTTAAGTGGATTTCACACGGTGTTCGCGGCACCTACGAGAAACAATAGAGATTCTTCATAAAGAGATTCTTCATTTAATTTCAAATCGTCATAATGATCGGTATATCTTTCGTCAAAGAAGAGAAAAATATCGCGATGAGACACTCCGAGCGTGAGAGAAAACTTGTCATTTGTGCGCTTGTGTGCGTGTGCGTGCGTTACACGCATGTAATTGACCTGATTTTCTATGAATATACATAGGCTTCGTTACGTCAAAAGATTCAGTCGCGTTCCTCGGATAGGAATGATAAAGAGAACTGGATCTGGCGCGGTTGAGGAGGACGGGGAGAGAAATGACGGGAGACGTCGAACAAAGATTTCGCTACTGCAATCGTTTCCAATGAAAGAGCAAGGAGAGGACAGAATGCACGCTCTTATTGCATTCTCCCTCAGGGTCGCGTCAATCTAGAACTGTAATCTGTAATTCATAGCAATGCGATCGAAATTGTCTAACATAATAGCTTAGTTATCATTATAATTGTTACAATATATAGTAGGATATAATAATATAATAATATAGTCTTTTATGTTTAATATGTATAACTTTAACATGTAAAACGTGAATTACGGATTAATTCTTTAAGGACGGGTATTTTAAACAAGCTTTATCGCGTAGAACGCAAAAAAGAGGAAATATAAGCTATTTATACAAACAAATTTAGTCAGAATTGGAATTTTTATATTAAAAAATGATGTAATGATAAAAAATATATTTTATTGTAAAATTATGTAAAGTATACTGTAGCTGCTGTAGCTTATTTACTCGTTTTTAAAAGGTTAATGATTCATATCAAAACTATAAAATTGATTTATATAAAATTCTATTTGCAAATCGCATATTATAAATTTGCAGTCGAAGCGACACAACTTGATATGTTTTTGCGCTCTTTTGCAACATAACAAGACTGTTCTTTGATCACGAGTTCTTGTTGACCATGATGATACACGCGTGATAGCTTAGCTTTTGCGTCGGAGCTTGTGCGCGGATAGAAAGTAAATTTCGGGACACAGATAAAAGCGAGGGCGGCACGCGAGAGATCGTGGAAATAAGAGGAGAACGCGCGCGGCAACCTAGATAGAATCCAAAACTCACATCCCTCATAGAATGTCGAGGGAAAGGAAAAATTACAGCTGGCGTTGGCTTTTGACGTTTGACCAGCGGCTCATTTAAATCTTTTGTATTCATAAGCAGTCGATCTACAAGCCTTTCACTTGAACTGTTACTGACAACGAAAGAACTCGTATATACGTATAAAATTATATTTTTTGAAACAGAAAAAGAAATTAATTGTCATATATTAAAGCTAAAAAGTTTCTATTTTTTAGTTATATATTTTATATGTATTTTAAATGGAATAATCGATGTCTAGAAAGTTTAATTTATTACACCTATAAGTGTATCTAATATCTATATTTATTTTGTGTATCTTATATCTATATTTAGAAATGATATACGAGCCACTTGCATATTGGGAATTAGTCTTTTATATGCCAATTCAATGGTTTGTCGGTTTTGTGTTGCAGAGGGGTCTGAAAGTCGGTTGTAGCCAGAGGCCGACAACATGAGGAACTCGACGTTACTGAAATGGGCGCAGAATTCGGCGAACAATAAAAATCAGCCGAGTAAAAACGGAGGTGAGTAACCCTGGCTCTCCAAAGCACGTGTGTCGCGAATCGCAACTAGTATTAGCAAATATGGCTCGCCGCTGCTATGGCGAAGGTTGAAAACCATCGCGACTCTCCTGTTCGCAGGAACGAGTAGGAACTGGATACACCCACCGGACGCGCTCCAAAAAGGACACATCGCCTACCTAGTCAAGGTATTGTACGATTTTTATACTATACTGCGAAGATATTGTAAGTATAACGTTGTGTTATGGAGCTATTACTTATATCTCGACTTTCCTTCGTAAAGAACTGTAGCGATTATTTTTGCGAGTCACAATTTGTGCTGAAATTCGTGCTAGAAGATTAGAAATAAATGATTTTTGTAAAGCAATAAAATTTTTATTTTTATAAATAATTTATTAAGATTACGTTTTTATTTTCAACGGGATGTTGAGAGTATTTTTTATTATTGATATGCTGGCGTATGCACATTAACCAAGGTCGCAGTACGCGATTGTGAAACCGCGGGATGAACAACAACCAAGCGACGACAAGTATCATCTTGGCACCGTTTCTCGGTATCTCGAAACTGACGGAATGAAAGGTCGAGGCCGTCGCGACGCGTATCATCTATCCTCTTTTTCCGCTTTTAATTTCATCTCCGGTAGCTTATCGAGCCCGTGAACCCACTCAACGGGATATCCATTACGCGTTCGTGAAATTTGTTGACGTGCGTTCGCCTAATTACCTTTCGCTGCTAACGAGCGTAATTAAGCTAAGTTGATTATTTCGCCGGGCGGAACGCCGAGGCATCGTGCACAGCCTGAGAAAAGCCGGAGAAATTGCTGGCTACTATTAAGCAATAACTGCGGCGGAAGGGTAATGAAAATAGAAGCAGTTGATTGAGAACAAAAACATTCAATATTTTTTATTCTTGTATGTTTTATAGAGAAAAGAAATATTTTTTAATTGTTTAAATTTTAATATTTTATAATACAGTAGATTGTTAGGTATATTTCTCTAAAAAAAAAAAAGAAAAAAATATCAGAAAGCGGTTTCTTAGAAATATTATATAAGAATTTGTGATAATTGATTCAAATTATCAAAAAAAATTAATATTTCCTGTAATGAGGGAAAGGAGTGCAAGGCTGGAAACGAAAGACGCAGACGTCTCATATTAATATATACAGATGTTCAAGTTGAATCTAATAACGGGAGGGGCTTAATGTACGGTCGTTAAAAAAACGATGCGGACGTAAAACCGAAAGTGACCCGCGATTTGCACTTTCTAGAGCCGGTTGTAGAATCTCATTATTTCCATGACTTGCACAGAAATAGGAAAAAAGATCCTAGGCTCGAAGCGTTCATTCATTTCGCGTCACCCGGAAAAATTGCGCAACGATCGCAACCGCGCACCCGCCTGCCTTTCGTTTCGAATTGTTACCGGCACGTACGTAAGTTTCCCCCATGAATACGAATACGGCATATATCGCGGATGAATTGTTGTTCGAGACGCTGAGACCCAACAGGCGCGTCGCCCGCGCCGTGAGTTCGTTGAACTTCGAAACTTCGCGCGAGCGGCCAGATTTCACTATCTCACGAACGAAACGAGTGTCGTGTCGTCACCACTAGACACGAAACAGCGGAATTGGCATGTCCGGACATGCCTTTTTCTCTGACCGGATTAAGTTTCCGCAATCCAACTCTCCCCGTGGCTTTTTTTCGGAAGATATTCCCGCCCAAGAGAAGTTTCTCTTCGTGGCACAAAATATCTCATATTCCTATCGACTGCATAATCGATCTCATTATTCATTACATTAGATTGACCAAAAAGGCATAAATCTTTCTTTTTTAATTAAAAGCAATTTTTAAAAATTTTGATAGCAATTTATTTGAATTTTTTTGTGATCTTAGAAGAATTTAAAGATTAGTTTTTGGCTACCGTATTTTTATTATAATTATATCTAACCAAATCCTCATCTTATTTTGAAATGCGATTAATTATTTATTTGTATATTTATCAGAAATAAAATGGAAAACGCGATCAATTTGCATAAGTAATCGAGATGACGGTTTCATCATCCAAGAAGATGCGTATTTAACCAGAAATATAAAAGTATCCCGAGATCATTAAACTACACAGTGAAACGTCATCGTGGCGCGATAATATCGCGATAATCGCGCAATTTGTCAGTGTTACGTTTATCGCGTTATTCGTGTAAGATTAAAGTGCAGAAATATTTTATCGGGTAGAAGGAATGCGGCGTAAATTGCCGTTAGATTTGCGTTTTATTTTCAAACGTCATTGCGAAATGTCTTGTTTCTTTTGTTCGATTTGCGAAATGCGATGATTGCAAGCAGTTTCTATTAACTATATCGATTAGGATTAATTTCTCTCCTTGCCGACGTATATCCGACTTCTTTTCTCGCTCTCTACGTATCGCGATCAACGTTTTTATTTTTATCGGTGATTTTTTGCAATATGCGCGCTATAATCTTTGCGCTCGACAAATAAAATTTTTTGTGTGATTTAAGATGTCCGAAACTCTTAAGCTGTTTTGATTGCGTAAAAGTGTATATATATATATATATATATACCGATTTATACAGCCATATCCACAAGCAGTTGAACAACTTTTCTCTCGGAAATATTACCTTGACGAGAGATGTCGTGCGTTGCTAATTTACAGATGCATGCCGGAGATTTACGACGATTATAATGCAAAAATATGCAGGCCGCGGAGGAATGCGTTAAAAAAAACCGCGGTTAATAAAGAAGTGCATTCGTATCGCGTTTTCAATGCGCATTTTTTCTCGGAAACGTCACAACGTTTCTCACGCTGCGTCGTTCCTCTTGCTGTTTTTGTCACAAAAGTTGCACATACACGGAATGTACCTGATTCCCCTTTTTTTCGTCATCTTCCTATGATTTGATATTTTAGTATTTGGGCAGCACAGAGGTGGACCAACCCAAAGGGATCGAGGTCGTTAAGGAGGCGATCTGCAAACTGAAATTCAATCAGCAACTCAAGAAGAGCGAAGGCACGAAAACCCCGAAGGTCGAGCTCACCATAAGCATCGATGGCGTGGCGATACAGGAACCAAAAACGAAAACGACGCCCAAGGTTAGTGCCATTCGTCGACGTGAAGATGACTTTTACGCGATAATTGCATTCCGTACGTTCACGTGTCCAAGGCTCGATTACTTGGCCGTCATTTAATCGAAGGTTATTCTTGCAGCGAATTATGCATCAGTATCCGTTACATAGAATCTCGTACTGCGCCGACGACAAAGGGGAGAAGAAGTTCTTCAGTTTCATCGCGAAGGAAGAGGACGCGGAGAGGCATACATGCTTCGTTTTCGTCAGCGATAAACTAGCCGAGGAAATCACGCTGACCATCGGCCAAGCTTTCGATTTGGCCTACAGGAGGTTCCTGGAAACATCCGGCAAGGATTTAGAGACACAACGACGTTGTATGGTCCTGCAGCAGAAGATAAAGCGACTCGAACACGAAAACAATGTTTATCGGCAACGATTGCAGGACGTCGCGGCTATTAAAGGCTCGGTTAGTTTGAAAACTATATGAGAAGTATATCTAATACTCTTAATAATATATAAATAAAAATTATTTCAATACTTGTTGACTATATTTCTATTTAGGCGGATGTGTCGGCGTACCTATCGCAACATAATATACCCGATATTCTTCACGTACCTGGAGCTCCTACGGATTCACCGCAAGTCAATGGTACGATTAGCCAGCCATTGCTGAACATGAGCGACAGCAACGGAAATACATCTAATGGACCACAGCAACCGCCACCAGTTCCACCGAGAAGTTTCGAGAAGAGTTTTGACGATGATTTCATGGGGTATGATCAATGTGATGATTGTAAATTTCACTAATCTCAGCTTTCTTGATTTCATATTATTTCTTATTTTTTCATAGAAATGAGCCAGCGCCAATGCCGTCGGTTGGCACTAAATTGGAAGGACTGTTGATGGACGAGTTTGAGGAAGATTTCAATCCAAGAGCTTACGAGACCGCAACCAACGGTCTTGCCAATCATCAGTCAAATAACAATCCGCTCCTTAACGGTCAGATATCTTCAGGATCGATCTTCTTCTCGCAATCTAACGGCACAACCAGTCCTCCGCCCCTGTGTAAGTATACAATTTATGGATATTAACTTTCATTACACATATATCATCTCTGAGAATATTGTATTCTCTATCCAGTGGCACCACCACCAAAGACGAAAGACTCGAGACGTCAAAATGGAATCAAGGAAGATCTGTTTGGTAGCATTCCTTTTAATCCTACGCCGACTTTAAACATGAAGAATGAATTTAAGGATCCGTTTGAAATGGGAGAATTCGGAGCTTCGACCATGACATCTAATCCTAGCCAGCAAGAACTGGAAAACGCTATCGGTCTGCTAGACAAGAAGCTGCTGGAGATGAAGGTAAAACATGCAATTTTCATTCTCCAATTGCTTCTGTTGTAGACAGGTTGTAACATGGCGAAAAATTTTTAGGATGGTTTTAGTAGAGGGCTGTGCATCGGAACGGATGACTTTTCTTTGGAGAGCTTGGACCCACTGCGGAATTAAAATCGCCAATCAGATCGGAAGTTACGAGCGTTCGAACGAGAACTTTATTAAGTGCTCTTAAGATGCAGAGTACGAAATACCAATTAATACGGATAAAGCAATTAGGGATTATGTCCGTGTAAAACCAAAATTAGTCAATTATTACTATTACCCTACTCGTATATTTATGATCATGTTCGATATTTATGGTACACATTTATGTGAAATAATTCTATAAGCGTGTATCCTTCTACACTCGCTAGTAATCTACGCTATTCTATTCGTCGCTTTAGAACTGGGGTCCAATCTGAATGACGCACTGAAAATGCGTTATCGTTGTTAATGATCAGTCAGTGAGAGGAGATCTCAAGTCGACCGTTAGAGTGGAATGAGACATTATTCTAATCGAGACAACATAATTATATAGACGAAAATTTGTTAAAATTTGTTATATATATATATATATATATATATATATATATAACTAATTTTATGTATGTATGTATGTATATATACATACACAATTTTTTCTTGTCGCGAATCTCATCGACGAGAATTTGATATATATGTATATGTATATACAATTTTTCTTATCGCGAATCTCATATCGACGATGGTATGCTTGCGTCTTTCATATTTTTTAACGAGATATTGAAAAAGAACTAATAAATATTATAATTTTGTAGCCATTGAATTGAAGAATTGGTGACGGCCGAGCAATCTCTTACATTCTAAAGCTACAATTGATAATACACATTTTACACTCGGCCTAGTTTGATTTAAACTCGTCACATTGTTGTTCAATCGTCTGTCGAAAAGTGAGCTAGTAGATGAAAAAAAAAAAAACAAAAAAAACGGAGCACTAACGTAGTAGCGTTTAGAAATCACACTAATAATACGAACGCATAGCTTTCATAGTCTGTCGATTGAACTCATACACTCAACATATCCTCTTTCTTTGGTCTGTCGTACATACCTTCACCTTGCTTTTAACGCGCGAACGTAAGTGATAGGAAAAAAAAAAGTTAATTGTAGGAGCGTATGAAAACTTTCGGCTGTAGAGTTTACGGTAATGTCTACGTATCGCGATCCGACCAAACGTAAGGCGTTAAACGAGTTCACGTTTATCGCTACAGAGAGGATTAGTAATTATGTACATATGAAATATTATTGTTGCTATATTGTTTAAGATATAATAGTTAAGAATATAGCATATGATTATTACAACAAAAATATTGAACATCCTATACATCTTCCTTATACTCTGTATATTAAATCTCGAAATAATCTGAAGTTGTGCACCCGTCTCGTCATAACATTATCCTCGACGCTTTCACGACTAAAATGTCATAAACAAAATAACACAGTTCCAAAATGTCACAGTTCCAACTTTTAAAAATCAATTCATTTTCGATCGTCCAATTTCCTTAAAATTTCACTTTTACTTCCTTTGAAATTGCAAATGATGGCGTTCACGAGACTAGTCTTCCTTACTTTCTACATAATTTTGGTCAGCAATGTCATGTTGCATCGAAGTGCAAATAATGGTAAGAAAATATACAACGCGAGTTAAATATTTCAAAACGTTAATTAAATATTAAAAAGATACATTTGTAAAGAATGCGTAATGGAAGAAAGTACGTGCTACGTTTTTCAAGAACCATATCGTTATTCAGTTACCGAAGAAAATGGAAATTTTTCAGAAGAATTGCAACATAAAGTATAAATTAAACACATATTTTCTTTCGCACAAACAATAAGTATAAGTAATGTATTGCATTTATTATATAGGAAACTTTAATAGTAAAATCACCCCTACAAGATACTTTGAAGAACATTACGAAATGTTATATAGAACCTCGAAATAGCGAGTCGTTGAAAAAAATATTGTCATTTACCTGTGCGCCTGACGAAGAAAAATCAATTAAAAAAACGTTTATGTAACAAATATTGGGACATTATATTCAGTTATTTATATTTTAGTAAACATTTAATAGGAATAACGTTAATTATTAATTGCATCAAGCAAATATTAAAATTGTAGTACAAATCTATCGTATGATATAATTATACAAGCAACGCAAAAGTTTAGAATAGATCTCAAGAGTGCTCAGATTAACTTTAATCTCGGTTTAACTTACTTTTTATCATCTTCTAATTTTCAGAACCAAGAAAATATACAAAAAATAAGTTAACCCAAGATTAAAGTTAATCTACATTGGTAGAAATGAACTTAAACATTCAAGTATACGAATCGTACGTCGAACCGCATTCAAATTTGGCGCGTCTCGCGCGCACCAAGCGTCACGTGATTCGGCGGGCGCGCCGCAGGCGGCGCCAGCGGCGTGAACGTGGCGCGGCACGCGCTGCGTCAGTGTTCCGCGGACTTCCATCGCGTTCTGTTCGTTTCTCCGATCTCCGTCCGGTTACGCTACGCGTCACGATAGAAAGAGAGGGAGAGGTAGCCGCCGAGAAACGCCACAGGACATAAGTGCCTTCTTCCATCTTCGCCGCGCACGGTGACTCCCGTCAGGATGGCGGACGACAACCACGAGAACGGCACCAGTAACGGCGACGTGCCCGAAATCGAGCTGATCATCAAGGTGAGTGTGTGCCACGCGCGGTGTGCGGTCGAGGATCGCCGCCGCGCCGGAGCGAGAGCGAGACGGACAGATCGGCGGGACGGGGAGGGACGGGAGGGCTGGAGAGGAAGACGGAGGAAAAAGGAGGCGGTTGTCGGGTTGTCCCGTGCGCGCTATGGGCGTGGAAC